AAAAAAAAAAAAAAAAAAAAGTAAATACAGACAAAAATAAATTGGCCTTTGAGAAAATTTAAGAACATCAGAAGATGGAAACAATTTGTAAATTGTTGAAGACTTCATTTTACCATGGATTTTGTACACATTTCTCTGAAGATACTATACATTTCCTTTTTATTGGGTCTACAGAGCATAACAAATGTTCCAGTGATTATTTAACTTTTGAAGCTGCAGTTTAACCTGAGAATACAAAGTGATGTTCTGATGAATGTCTATTAAATCACATGTAAAATTATGCATATTTTTCAAGAATATTTTAATTGAATTCTTTTACACAAGCCCTCTAATGATAAGTGTCTTTTATCACATGTCAATTAGTTGGTAAGAATCTAAAACAAGGGGGAGTATGAGTTTAGTAATGTTCCAGACAAAACAACCTGCAAAAACAAACTAATGGAATTTATAACCTTTGAATCACTCAGCTTCTACATAAAACTTAATGAAAAATAAACAATACAATGGAAACTTCCGGAGAAGTTGCAGAGAATTCATCAATATTACCATTGTGAAGCAAAACATAGTGATAAAGGAATCATACAAGATACAAAGCAAACAAAATAAACAACAATTACCTTTTGAGTCAGTTCTTTAAAATATATTTCGGGGAATATTTTTGTACGATGTAATGCTCTTCCTTGTCTGAACTTATTTGAAGATGTTTTAACCATTAAACTTTGCACCAGTGAACTCTGACAAAATCCGTTCCTTCCTTCCAACAGATTTTGTAAGACTGTGTCTATTCAGTTGTGGGACGTTACTGAAATTATATAGTTAGTGGTCATATAGAATCACTAAGCAAATGTATGTTGTTCCTCTAAAATACATTCAAGAGGGGGAAACTTCTGATCAAAACATCAGTCTCACAACTTTTCTGATCATTCTTAAATGATAAAAACTATCCTTTGATTATGTTAAGTTGCCAAAGTCTCAAATCAGAAGGTCTGGTCACATACACAGCAAGCAAAGGTAACATTTCTTTCCCCTCTTAGGTTTGTTACAGAACCCGGAAATGGTTTGTGTGTCTGTTTTGTGGCAGAGCTGATGTTTGTTTCATTTCTTGTTTCATCTCTTGCAAGTGGCTACTTTGTGTTCCTGGGCTGGTACAAGGCCGCAAGAGCCAGTTTCCCACCCAACATGCACTCTGAAGGACAGCTTTGTACTTTCTAGACCTGGCAGGTGGCAGAGCTGAGCCCTTTTTCTGCAAGCACATTCTTGAGTTCGTCAGAGACTTCTCACCGTCTTGGGGAGGCACAACAAACTGTTTTCTTTAGTATGTCCAGAGCCCATGGGAATTTCCGGCTAGTTCGTTTCCAGCTTCTGTCTGCTGAGGTCCCATCAACCTTGCAGACACGAGTGTGACATTTGCTTTTCAGGAGACTCTCCTCCTCGAGACATCTGTCCCCACAGGCTGGAATTCACACAGCAGACTCTGTGGGCTCCCCTGTCACCATCTACCTCGTAGATCTCTCAGGAACCGCATTTGACTCCCATTGTCCTCTTGTCTTCAGTCTCTTCGAAGGTCCCAGAAACACTTTTCTCTTGATTTGGGGTGAAGAAAGAAGCATTTCCATAACTTTACCAATAGCAGTGATCTACTTAATGAAATCCTCCTCATAAATTCTTTTCCAAGCAACTTAACCTTTCATTTGTTTGAGTTGAGGGAGGGTTCTAAGCATTCTTTGACTGTCTTTTAAATCTTTTTTGAAATTCCTGTCTCATAACTCAGTTGTTTCCTGACATTTTTCATCTTTGAGTCTTGATTTAAACTTCTGATTTAATATCCTGTTACTTAAGACCAGATTAGAACAGAACAAAATAGTCTGGAATAGAACAGAATTGGAAAAAAAAGTGACAAGAACAGACTGAATTAAAAGAAAGGAATATAAGTATTTAAAAGGTTCAGTGATTCTCAAAAATTTTAGGAGAACATTTTACAGTCAGAAAAGGATACCAAGGTCTGCTCACTCACCAAAAACTACTCTTATTTCTAGTGGATAAAAACTTAGCAGTAAGAAAAGAATAGGAAAATAAAATGCCAACAATGTAGTAATTATAAAACAAATAAATTCTAAATGATACATGGGTTATATCCAAGAGTATTTGTGTATATGCAATTAGAAAACCAGTAATTAAATACTAAGGCCAACTTGAGATAAGAGCTTTGCAGCACTGAAAATATATCATCTTTAGAAGAGACTGGGCACATTCAGAGTGGTAGAGCCGTAGACTATTATCTTCTTCAAACTGTAAATCCCAGTTGTTCTCAAGGATACATAAAACAATATTATGGCACCTAATAGCTTAGGAAGACACTGAATAGAGTCTTCAATAAATCCAAATCACATTACTTTTAGTTAATTAAACTTCAGTTGTAGAAGCCTTTACAATTAACTTTGGTAATACCACTTCTGAACTACTGTCTTAGTTACTTTTCTCATTACTGAGCCAAAATACCTGACACCAGGAGGAAAGGTTTATTTAGCTCACAGTTTGTAAAGGTTTCAATTTGTAGCTGGCTGGCTCCAAAGTCGGTGGCATGGCAGAGGAGCGTTGCATAGGAGAAGCAGTTTATGGCAGGCAGAAGGCAGCAAAGTGTCAAAGTAGTGAAGCAGCAAAGAAGTAGCAGCAGCCCTCTTTCTGTCCCTTATATTCCATCCAGGCTACCCACCCTTAGGGCAAGTAGCACTCACACCCAAGTCACAGCACCCTTAATCCCAGCATCACACCCTTAATCTGAGCATCACACACCCTAGATCCTGCCATGTCTGAAAAGCCCAACCTATGATTGCTTGAGGCTTTGGGTGGGACCTCTAGACATAAGCCTTAACAGTCACTCTTCATCTTTTATTAAAAGAATCACATTAGTTTGACACATTCTGCCAGAAAAGAAATTATTTGCATTGTTCAATCCTTTAACAACTGTTTTAGATGATCTTCATAGCTGAAGGGTGGTCTATGTCAAAGTCTGTAAGAAATAACCACACAGTCCATGTTTCCAGACATTGTTTAACCATCAGTCCCTCTTTATAAGTAGAGTCTAAATTCAGCAGAGAGGGGAAGATGTTCGTGGGATGGACAGAGCCACTAAACCAAACAGCAGTTCTGTGTGTGTCACTGATCCCAGCCCTCAGACCACACCCAGAGCTTGCTTCGATTCCCTTAGAGGCACAGTATGTTAGACTCATAGATGATGTTGATGATAATTCAAAGGAGGAATATAAAGCTCGTTATTGAGGGGACAGCAAAGACTCCAGTTCTCCAGTGATGCTGTTGACTCATTATTTGAAAAATAACATTAGGATACATTATTACATAACAGTAACCAACACCTTCTGAACACCTACTAGGCAGCAGCCACTCCTCTCAGTGCTTTGCTTACCTGTGTTGTTCACAGCAGCCCTGTGATGAGAGTTTAACAAGAATGGAAGCCAAGAAGTTGGTGGACTTAGCTGTGCAAGGTCTTGGAGCTACTGACTGGCTACCTCTCTCCAACAGTCAACCAGATTCTTAAGCTCTTGTTACATTTTTTTCACTCTTGCCATATCCACAAGCCACTGGCACTTTCTTCCAAAATATTTTTTCTAAACTTTACATCCATTCCCTTTTTGAAACAATAGTAAATAGTAATTTATTACATTGTAAATAGTATTCCTTCCCTAAAATAACTAAATTACATATGCTTTTGTATTTTTCTAATATATAAAATTTACAATAAAAAGTCACATTTCTATGGATATAAAAACACAATGATTGATTTAATTTAATAGAATGTGTTGCACACCTATTTTTTTACTTCTCTAAGTCAACAATCCCTGCCTGTGGGTAGGAAAATCAACACTATAACTTGTACCTTAGACATGAGTATCAAAGGGATACCTGGCTACCCCAGGCATTGTAGCCAATGTGAGTTTGGGGGACAGAACACAAAAATTTTCCCCAGAAAACTACTCCAGTTAATTTTCCATGTTTAACAGCAACATCAAATAATATTTGAAAAGAGCACAAACTTAGTTTGTGGAGATTTTTCAACAGAAACCACTAGTTCAGAGTTACACTGCATTCTTAGTGTAGTTCTTCACGAGAAAAATGCCTCTGCTATGCACAAAGGGGTTTTACTCAAGCTGCCACATCAAAGTTGCTTCAGTTTTATTTTCAGCCCATTATGTAGTTTATGCTGCCAATAACTAGAATGAATTGATGATCAAAAGTTATATTTGCAGTCACTGGAGAATGTAATACCTGGGAGAGCAGAGCTCTGGATTCTGTTTGGCGTTTGGGATCCATATGATTTGTCTTCAGCACAGTGAAAATAGTTTTCCTATTTTTGCTCTTAATTTACATGTACCTGGAGACGCAAAAATTATATTTCCTGTCTTTTTTTGAGTGTGCTTGAAGGTAACAGCAAGAGAAGAAAGGATCACTGGAAAAAAGAAGAAGGCTGGTTGCTAAAGCAAAAGTCCATGTCCCTCCCAAAGATGTGACTCTGGTCTATAAAGTTGGAGAAAGTAATACCTTAGTTGATAAAGCAGTAATACTTTATTTGATACATGAGATACAAATCAAGAAGTAAATTATTTCTTCGCTCACTAAAGCAAAAATATAAACATCTAATTTTAGCTCGGCAAGGTGGCTCATGCCTGTAATCTCAGCACTCTGTGAAGCTAAGGTTGGAGGATTACTAATTCAAGCCCA